AACAGAGTCATCCACGCGCTTGGTGATATCAACACCTAGTAATATACGAGTTACAGTCATGTTATAACAGAGTCATCCACGCGCTTGGTGATATCAACACCTAGTAATATACGAGTTACAGTCATGTTATAACAGATTCATCCACACACTTGGTGATATCAACACCTAGTAATATACGAGTTACAGTCATGTTATAACAGAGTCATCCACGCGCTTGGTGATATCAACACCTAGTAATATACGAGTTACAGTCATGTTATAACAGAGTCATCCACGCGCTTGGTGATATCAACACCTAGTAATATATGAGTTACAGTCATGTTACAGTCAAACAAGATCATTAATTTCTTAAAATCACTTTCTGATACCTCAGGGGAGCAATCTACCATTTTCCACCTGAAGGCAAGTGCACAACCCTAGGCAAGTAAATCATTAATTGCAACACTGTTAATTTACCCAAGAAGACATGAAAATTTGCAGAAATTCAACTTCAGGCTGTAATTTTCTCTCATCAACTGTCAACTTGACAATATATGAAAATTATAAGGGAACTCATATATAACCTGATTGCTTATAAGCTTGAACATAAAAATTTAATAACAGACCTCTCAACCTCAAAACATCAAAACACCAAAAATCTGGAGACTGATGTAAAAAAATCTGGAGATTTCAGTAAAAATCTGGAGATTGGTCAACCAGCAGACAAAACCAAGTAAACAGAGGTTCTTAAATTAAGAGAAATTGTTTTTTGTCCTGCTCATAATTTACTTAAAACATGTGTGGACCTTAACAACACATATTCATCGGGTTCATCAATTGCCGCCATTTTGATAATGTGTCGTGTCAAAATGCGAGAGACTGGTTATGATGACCTAATTTGGAACAGGTGTTCTATATATGGTCATGGACGACTCACAGTGTTTCCAGCAAACTGATGGATGAAGAACGTAACAGCTTGGTTTGTTATGGACTTACACAGAATTGGCACAAAAAACTCACTTCTAGCATCTAGCAAGCCAAAAATGAAATTATACAAAAAAATTATCCTTTCAGCTTGCGCCTCTATTTATCGTGAGATTTGTCTGTCTCCTCGTGAGACCGTGAGATTGAACTGAAAATCGCGAGTCTCACAAGAAAATTGTGAGACTTCAGAGATCTGAAATAAGGGCATTCAATTCTTCATTCAATTTGGCACACTTACTATCTATTTCACTTGGGTTTGTCAAGTCCAGTCGCATCAGCACATTGTTGCTCAACACCATGGCAACAATATTGTTACACACAACAACATCCACAATATTGTTCGGTGGTCTGAAAACAACACATCACAAGGTATATAAATCAGTAGGATAACAATTACTCTGATTGGCAAGGTAAGGCTGAACTTGAATTATAATAAAATTTATTTAATACTGGTCTACTACCCATAATGGTTTCATTGTAATTCAAAGCTTTTCATTGGCTATCACACAATAGTGTCTTAGTCAATGTATCATGAACGAGCCTGGAAATGACAGCCACTAATTGGACAAAAGTCAAACTTTTTGGTAAATTTCAGATTTGACTGGCAAACACTGGGGGTGTAAGGGGGCTCTTCTTGGTAGACTGAGTACCAAAACCATTGTGCATTCTTTTTTTTTTTTTTTTTTAGAGATTTACCATAAGGTAGGTGTAGAAACAATAGGACTCTGAGTCCCCTACTGAGTTTTTACACCCTGGAAACCCAACCCCAAAAATATAGTTTAGATTACTAGGATGAACCCAACCCACTAAGAAGAAATGAGAAAAAAAAATACAAAAAATATATTGAGACAAGCAAGAACAAATAGAGGACACAAGTCATTAACTTTACAACATTTAGGGCAGATTAACTTAAAGGTGCAGACATTGTCTCCATCAAAAAACTGATTCAACCTACGAAAATAAAAAGATTTGAGCTTAGTTTTAAAGGAAGACAGCGTGGTTTCAGTTGCAATTCATGGGGGGGGGGGAGGGGGAGTGGGAGGAATTCAGCCCTCTAATAGACTTTTGAATTTTTCCTTGTACTACATAGTACACCAGAACACTTTGTTATAATTTTTATGTTTATCATATAGTGCTTGCCATCTAAGAAATCTACTATCTACAGCTATTCACCTGAAGTTCACCTTCTGTCGCTTAAAAATGGGAACATCATCCTCACTCCTAACTTCCACGTATCCAGTTGATATCTGTTGTTTAAGCATGGAGATGCCAAACATGATGAATACCATTTAAAATTTATTTCCAAAATAACATTTAAGATAGCCTGAATTCAGTATTATGCACACATTTTTTTATTGATTCTTACCACAGGGAGCCCAAGCTCTCAATGAGAGGATAACATTACAAACTCTCCACAAGAGGATAATATTATAAAACTTTATATGGGAGTTTGGGCTCCCTTCTGTAAGTCAATAAAACTAAATAGTACAGCAAATAAACTCTAACATTCAGATAGTGTTTTTTGGGTAAGATCTCATCCCACCACTGTCTGTACTAAGAAGAAAAAAGGGAGGAAGGTTTCCTCAGATCAATAGACTGACCCTGACTCGAGAAAATCTCTCGATTCTCAGACTAAATCACATTGCCTTGCTCCAAGACTCTGCATCGTGAAAGCCAGATAGTTCTCGTTCAAGTTTATTGAAAAATACATTTCACAAAAGAGCTGCTGTGCAGGCGATATTGATTTATGATCTATTACTGAACAGATGTACAGTAACATGAAATCTTTTCTTAAAGCAGATACCTAGCCTATGGTACACATTAATTTAATATAGGATAAGATAAATCATACATGCATTACTATGGGTTCTTATTTATGATCTATTAAAGGAAAGACCTCATAATGACGTCATCTGAGGTCCATAGTTGACCAGAACACGGCAACATGGAATCTTTCAGTGCTTTGAAAATTGAAGTGAAAGGATGCAACTCATTAAAGTTTGGAGCCGCATGAATTCGAATCAAACCTTGGTTCGAAATACACATAAATGTGTGAATATTTTATTCCTCCTGATACCTGAGGGAGGAGGAAAATTGTCATTTCACTTACGGGTTCTGTTATGTCTGGTCCTAAAAACGGGTTCAAGTTTTCTCCAGCAGACGCTTGCATGTACTGATCAAGGATGGACGCCATCTTGACGAAGTTTCCACTCTAAATCTCCCAGGGAGGGGATATGCAGCTATGTTTAGTCTTACTTGTCTTCTCTCCCTCAAAAATCTTCAAACGGCTTTAAGTCGTGTTCAAATGCCAACTAAGTGATACCTTTTTTTTTCCACTTAAACATTTAAATTAATTTTTTTCTTTGTTAATAGTTTCATTCGCCTTTTTATCGATCCGAACTACAAACATTGAGCTCCTACTACCCTGGTTAGGAAAAGTTTGTCAACTCATCTGCGCAAAGCCCGAAACCGAGGCTTTCAATGTAAACAAGATGGCAGCTTTTTATGGTTCGGGCTTTGCCAAGGATCTGTTAAGCAGTCTTAGCGCTGAAGTTCTGTATATTATTCTGTCGTATCTTCCTGCAAAGTCTTTGTTGAATGTTAGTGAATGCAACCGTCGTTTACGGGATTTATGTCAGAACTGTAACTCGCTTTGGAAGCATCTTTGTAAGGTTCGTGCTCGAATCCTAAAAAAATATTCATGTCATCTGCATGTTTGGTTCCGCTTTGCGAGACGATAAGTTTTCCTATTACTTTTTGTGCGCATATGAGACAAAATGCGTAAGTTTTTGCCTTCAATTTCCTTTGAGAAGGATTGTTTCTTCATGTAAAAGAGGAAATTTTGTACAGGCATGTTATTTCACGAATACAATCGGCACAGTTAGCCAGTGAAATATGAAGCACTCCTCATGCTTCTTGTAGAGGGATTTTTTTAATCAGTTGTTTCTAGGAGGAAGTTTATAGAATTTGCGCCGAAACGTATATCTATTGGACTTCTTTTTTACTCCGCTTCTCAATTTTGTGAGTGCCTTTGTTTATTTCTCGAGTGGGATCTTTAACTTTGATGTTGTAATATTGATTTTCTCTGGTTAGTGATCTGTTTATTTCAATCAATTCAATCAAAAACTTAGAATCTAAGCAAAGTTCTGCTACAATAAATTGAGTCGCCTGGCTTGACAGAACGATTCAATGAAATAGAGAGGAAAAATTTTAGCTAAGGAAAACCTATATATAATATATGACGTTTTTGAAAGACTATTCATTTTGCGTAAGATTGTGAAATTAAACTGGTCTCGATCTGACTCCATATTGTACGGGCTTTTAACATGCAATCGTTCAAGCATAAAATCTGTTTTTGAGTTGCTTGTCATGCGAAAATGATAATGTATCAAAGTGGAAGGCAAGAAAGAAAATCATAATATTTTTCATATTTCAACTAAAGGGTGACAGAAAATGCAATAGAGGTTAAATTCCAGTTTAATTAGCAATGTGATTTCAGTTCTGTCATTTTGGGCTGGTTATTTAAACGAGGTCTAACCCAGCAGTTGTACACAAGCAGTGGGCCTTGTTGATTCTCTATAAAAGGGTTGATTTAATGAAATCGCTGTCCTTCCTCTATTCACTTTTGGTCCTCTTAACATTGTTCACAAAAGTATATGTTTAGCTAAGTTGAAGATGGCTTACAACACAGTTTTGTTTAAACAATGGCAAAACTTTGTTTAATTAATAGGCCCATCGTGTTGTGCAATCAAAAGAAAAATGTGTGAATTTGAAGATTTGAAATGACAAGCGTACTCCAGTCGTTGACATGTCATCTGGTTTCTCTGGGTTATTCACTGTTTTGTACTCCTTGTTGAAAAGAGACATGACAAGAGAAGATTTCTGGCAGGTGGCAGGGTGTAGGGATAAAAAGATTCAATTCTGCAGGATTTTGGGGGCTTATTATTTTTACATAGGAAACATCATGTGTGCTTGGTAGGACACCTCATTCATACACCTCATTCATTTTGAACCCACTACTACTAGAAGAAAATTGGAATATCCTCACTTATGTTTGAAGGCAAATAACTTGAACATTTTGACAAGAAATCTCAGTAATTTGAAAGGACTTCTTCTTTTGATAAGAAAAAATATATATGCAAGTTTTCTGAGGAATTTTGTAGGCTGTAAGGTATGAATTGCATTACTCAGGGTTGTTTGTGGATAATATGATAGGTTAAACTTTATGCTTTGAACTTAGCAGGGGGCTGAACTGAATTACAGCTCTATGTAAAACAATAATTATGCTCTTTTAAGGGAGATTTGAAATTTGAAACTCTCTGAAAACCTGGGACATTTGAGTAACTTTTTAGCTAGAAATTGATGTTAGAATCAGTTCACAAATACTTTATTTATATCTTTGATCACAATTCACAAAGTGGTCTGATAACTGGTAGGTGTCCTTTGTAAAAGTGGTTTAAAGTGTCTTCTCAAGAACACACCACGATGCCTTACTTGCTCAAACCAACTCATTCTGATCACAACTTCAAAACTTGGGCTTAGTGTGAGGTTACTAGTAAGTAAATTAATATTTGTACTAAATCCTTCTTTCAGATAGACTTTGATGCTGACTTGACTGTGAAAGGCTCTTTCCCATCCTTTTTCATCTTGTATCAGCTGCTTTACAAATCCCGCATTATCCTTGAGGACACAGACTATAGCACATATAGTGGTTATTTACCAGATTGGTTGTATTATTGGAGTGCACTCAGTACCAAGCCACCCCTCCCTGGCTTTTACAACTTGCCAGCAGGAAGGACAAAGAAAACTTGGGGTATGAATCATGTCATCAGTAATTCTGTGGAATGGGAGGAAGATGGAGTGGGGGGGATGGAGGAGGGGGGGGTGTCAAATGCATATTAATTTGCATAATTTGCTCAAAGCTTTGCATGGAAGGCATATAACAATGTAAAAAGCTTTGCATGGAAGGCATATAACAATGTAATTGAATAGTTCCCAGTCCTATGTAATCTTGAAAGGATAGCCTGTCTACCAATAATATCATATTTTCCTTCCACTTTATACTTTCAAACTTATTGGCAACCCTGTTTGACATCCCTTGTTAACCAACAGAAAACTCAGAGGTTCAGAAAAGGGGGCATAAAATTTATAATTATTATTCCAAAAGGCTTCAATGTCTAACCATTTGCACATATCACTTATATTCTAACCAATATGGGTACTGTTTGGAAAAAATTCTCCAACTTTGGTTGATTATGGATTTTCTTTAGATTTTTGCCATAAAAATCAATTTGTAAAGATTTACTCAACGATCTGGGAACCAAGTCCTAAGTGTCCCAAACTTTGGTGTGGTGTCTGGTGCTTAATCTCAGTAGCAATAAATTTTATTCAGTATTTCTGGCAATTGTTATTGTATAACTTAGATTCATAATTTTCCACAAGGCCTTACAGAAGAGGATTTGACCAACTACCAGATCAAATGTAACAAATCTTGTACGGTAAGATTAGAGCGTTATTACACTTGGACAGACGGTCTAGAAGCAGCACTCTGTAAACACAAGAGCAAACAACGATTCCACGAGGTGGCTCTGAAGCGGTGCATGCGAAGTCAAAAACAAATTCACAAGACCTTTCCAAAGGCATCATGTTCCCAGAGAAAAAGAGCTTTTAACAAATTCCAGAATGAGCATCGCAGCCAAAGAAACATTCTCTCCAAGCAAAGGGAGGGTGCCAGTGAATACTTGAGTTTACAGTCTCCCCATAAGATTGGCCAAGATTATATTGATGGTGAGTATGTGCCTCACTTTGGAGATTAAGGAAAGCTCCTTATGGATGCAAATAGTGGACATCATTTTTGAGAAATACTTACTTAACAGTTGAAGTATTCACTTGAATTTAAAAATGGTACCAGACGAACCAACTTTCGTTCTATAAAGTTGCACATCAAGCAACTGTTCTTTGTTTTAAATGGCTAGTGCTTGGTCTTGCTAGAACTTTGGTGACTTTACTAACTTTGAAAAGTTCTTCCCAACGCATTTAGGCCGTAACATGAACAGCAACTTTTAAATTGTAGTTTTTGACCCAAAAAGTTCGTAATGCGAGCGGTCTTTGTAAAAGTTAGGCGAACAAAAAGGTCAGAATTTTACCCGTTGGTGAGCGTGTTGCACTTTTCTTAAACGTATTATTTCACAAATGTCGTTTCTCAGAGGTTTAAACTCAGGGAGTACTACTAACAATTTTTTTTTTTCATCACAGGATATCTTCACAAGAGTGGTATCAAACAACTTGAAAGCTATGTTGAGTTTGCTAAACGCCTTGAACAAGAGGTTGACATAGCAGAACTGTCTAAAGACATTCCAGTGTGTGTTCTACTCGTTTACGATAAAATGTCCTCCATAGCGCAACAAAGGTTTATTTCGGCGGAGGAATTCCTTGATGTTGCCAAGGATTACTTTGAAAGAGTTAAGAGAGTGTGGAATTGGCAGAATGAACATGGACCACAAGCAAGACAGGCTTACCGAGATTGTTCAGTTGTAAAAACTCATTCATCTTATAGGTGAGTTTTACTTCTAGACTTTCATCATGCCTTTTAAGTTATTTGAATCACTTTTCCAAGGTTGATGTGATCAAACCTAGCCTGTTCAAATTGTTCAAATACATGTAGTAAAACGTAGTGCGACAGGAGGGTCCTTATACTTTTTACGTGAAGCGTGATTAAATGATTTTTTTTTCTCGTTAATCGTGATCTGATTTTTTCTTTATTTGTAAATCGTGTTTAAAAATAGTAAGATCTTTCCATGTCCACGTGAAATAATTTTTTTAATTCAACGTGACTTGCGAATGAAGAGCTGAATTAAACGTGATTCGTGAGCCTTTTTGATTTGCGGAATGAATTCCCGGCTATTTATTGTTTAGAAATTGTACGTATCGATCTCGAACGGCTGTGTTTAGGTTTTGACCGGACATGGACTTCATATGGATCGATAAAAGCATATTATTGGCAGGGGTCGCACTTTGGCCTTATTTTTTCTATGTCGCGTCATAAGTTGTCCTACGAATCTGTCGCGACATTTACACCACGGGAGTCATGGAGGTCGCACTTGTGCGACATAAATGATATTTGAAAGCACACTGTCAACTCTTAATATTTCACGCGTGAAAAGAGCACCAAATAAAACTTTGTAGACATGAAGCTGGTGCTAGTTTTATTAGCGACATTTCTTCATTCTCTGTTTAATTTGTTCAATGTACAAAAGCCCTTATTGATTTGTACGCATTGTACAACACTCGCCAAGGGCAAATGTTGGCTCTTGCCGCTTTAAACCGACGTCGACGGATGCGAAAAAATGGGAAAATATCTGCGAGCCAAAGGGTGAAAACAAGCCATTCCCATACTGAAAATAATCAAGTGAATAGTGCAAATTTGTAAATTGGTATGGGTTGAAATTCGCCATAGGGACCAGATAAAACGTGTGTCGAGAAAACCTGTGACTAAAATATTGAACCGATAGCTAGCTGTGCACACTGTTGTCTTTGCAGAATTGCGAAAATCCAAATTTTTGCTAGTATTTCATATTTGATCGACGTTGCGACAGAAGAAAAACAAAATTTGTTATTTTAAGGCGATAAGACGAGATATGGCCTGCCTCGAGGCAGGACATCGGCTTTTCTAATCTTTAGGTCCTTCGGACATAGTTAACTATGATAAAAGTCATAAAACGAATCAATAATGGTCCTTGTACAAATAAGATAAGTCATTACATCATCTTTTGTCAGTTAAGACTAGTCACATCACGTACATCACGCGACTCGACCCAAACCTCTCTCGTCTTGGCCCTGCCGCTTCGGTGGCGCCGTTTACTATTTCGCTCTGTTTACCAACACAGGGAGCCCAGACAAGCGACGAGTCTGGTTGTTTATTCGAAATATAAAGGAATGTAGGGGAGAATATTGTAGAGTCTTATTATCGTAAACTTATAGAATGAAATGTCTGAGTTAAAGCTCAAAATAAATGTAAAGCTACCTCCCTTGCTGTGTATTGTCGTTTCTGTGGCTCTAAATGGCGAATTTGAGCGATTTGGCGGGTTTTGCGTCGACTGGTACTGTACGTTATAAGAAGGAGTCTAGTAGTATAGTACAGTAGCAGTCGACACAAAACCCACCAAATCGCTCAAATTCGCCATTTAGAGCCACAGAAACGACAATACACAGCAAATGAGGTAGGTTTACATTTATTTTGAGCTTTAACTCAGACATTTCATTATATAAGTTTACGATAATAAGACTCTTCAATATTCTCCCATACATTCCTTTCTATTTCGAATAAACAACCAGACTCGTCGCTTGTCTGGGCTCCCTGTGTTTACCAACTGCACACTTGGATAAATTTAAAAATGATTTTTTGGTATGTTTTCGGGCACTGAGGTATAACTGGGTGAAGTATTTCAGGTTGCAATATGAAAATATCTCAGTATACCTCATTGTTTATAGTAGTTAACTTTTCATGTGTTTCGGTTCTTGTTGTTCATATAAACTGAACGTGAACTTGTCACGAAGCCAAGAGAAGATTCCTTTTTTCCACTTAAACCGAACACTTTATTGGTCTGCAACGTAACTTAACAGTGGTATCTTAAAGCTCTGAAAACTCTTACCAAATCTTACGTTATCGAACCTTATACGTAATAGCCTATTACGTCATACCTTTTTCTAAAACACAATTTTTAGCAGTAAGAACATTCTAGACGCTCATGATGAGATATCCTTAAAATAACTCAACGGAATGTTCCGGAATAAGGAGAAGTTTCTAGCACAGTTTATAAAATTAGTGATGTGGTAATTTAATGCTCTAAATTGTTCTCTAGATTTCTGGAAACTTCGTTAAAGAACTGCTCGTGTACCTTTTTTCGTTACACTTAAAGGTGAAAATGACCATTAATAAACAAAAGAGGAAAACTTTCCCGATTTTGGGGTTAAGTGGTTTGGAATTACTATCCGGTTGCCATATCAGCTTCTTAACAGGGAGGGCTCAAAAGCACATTTGAACATAAGATTAGTAGGTGTCAAAGACAGACGAACGGTCAGTAACTTACAGTGTAGGCGTGTTATTAGGGTGACCGCGGCCATGTTTGATTTAGAGTTAGAGGGGACGGTGAAATGAAGGGGTGAGGAGGGAAACAAAGACGTGATATTGACTTATTTTTTCTATTTTTCAGTGCATTTGTTCAAACTGGTAGTGAGTCACATTTTAGAAATCTTCGACTAAATTTTGAGGGACTAGAAAAGTTACAAACATGGCTCGATGAAAACCAGTGGATTACCAAGCTGCTCGATCCAAACTTTATCACAATTCTCCGTGGAGCTCCGTTGCAGAAATTACCGTCCAATGATCTCAGCACACAAGCGTTTCATGCATTGAGAAAAATGGTGAGACTCTTCCTCAAAACCGGACGAAGAATCGACTTTGATAGAATTCTCAGAAGACTATCTGAATCTGCCAAAATATTTCTGCAAACACACTTGGAGTACGTGGAAAACTTAGAGAGGACCCTTTCACGCGAGTAAATTGTGATTAGGGTCCAGTTTCTCTTTGCTGGGGTCTTAACAAATTGAGACGGCTGGTATATGGAGAATTCATGAGCAATCTGAACTTCTCAAAAAAACGGTGCGGAAAAATATGGTTAGATTTCGATTCTCCCCAGCGAGTATATACACAACGAATACGAGCTCGTGAGAAAATTTGCGTTATGAAATGAAGCTTCCCCACTGCTATGCAAGTGAAGCGCATCTTTGCGTACTTCGTTCGTTTACCGTCAACAGCTTTCTTTTAGGTGAATTACCTTTGATAAGTGTGTCTTGCAAGGCCACTTTCATCTGCTTTCCAATTTCATCTTTACTATTCCATTTTCAAATACTCGAACTTTTTACTCCTTATAAATTTCCCTTGATTTGACTCGGCTAACTCTGTGAATCGTGCATTACATACTTCTCCCAAGTAACTCCTGGAAAAGCCCTTGAGACTCCTTGCAATGAATTGTCTGTGCGACGATCCCTGATTGTTTCCTATGATTCATAGGAGTTCGACGTCACAAGATTAAGAATAGAGCTTTTGGGATTAAAAAGCGATCGAGATCTGCTAACTGCCTGAACTCTGTATAAATCTACAAGATTTTTCCAAGATCTCTCGGTTTGCACTTTTCGCGGACGGGAGGCTTTTTTTTTTTTTTTCCAGTCGTCAAACAATATTCCTTCTCAGTTAGTCCGAATCAACTTGGTGAGCTTTGTTAAATAAATATGCTTTCTCGAAGTATGTCTTAAATTCGCAAAATCTTTGTGAGCAATATTTACGCACTGTTCCATTCACAATTGATAAATCCCTGAAAAAGTTTGGAACACTCACTACCCTGCCCGAGAGCGAAGGCGTTCCACATTGAAAATTAAGTACCGTCTATAAACTAACCAATAGTAAAGTTACTTAATCAAGGAAAGAGAATTGGATAAAGACTACCAATCACGCGACCTGAGCTCATCTTTAGCCTCCAGCCGACTCAGCACATCCTCCGCTCTTCTTTGAAGAGAGTTAAAATGGGTGCATTATGTGAATGAAAAAGATAAAAGGTAATAACGTCAATTCATCTTAGCTTGCTTTTGCAATTCTTAAATTTACCATATCTTAACAAAATAAGCGTCATTTTGAATGTTAATCTTGACAGAGCCACTGGAAAACGCTGAAGAAGAATCAATATGGGAAACCTATTGATCTATCACACCTGATATGTACTCTATGCAGTATGTAAGAGCGATACTCCGGGAGGTCAAATTACTTTTCAAAAAACCTCTTATTCAACCAAGGGCGGTTTTTAAGACAAGAGAGCAAGCAAGAGCTGATAAATATTCATTCTAGGAGCTAAAGCCAACAAACAACGGATGAAAATCTATAATTACCATGACCCACGGCGGCATGGACATTTTGCGCATAATTTAAACTTGGTCAAACCTGTTACCCGAGTTGCGATCCATGATGTCATCGACACCCCATTTAACACTCAAAACCAGGCAAGTTGTGAACATGCGCAATCACGTTTTCTGGCGTCGCTAATTTTCTACTGATCAGTCAGAATTAAAAAATTAATTTTTAGCGCGTCCTAGTTAGCTTTCCAATAACTATTATGGCATCCTGAGGTTTAACTGAATATCTTGACTTTCTCTCTGGATTACCCTTCTTCTAAAGAGTTGCATCAAAACTGTTCTAAATTCCGCCATTCGGGCGGCGTACAAGATTGGGTTGACCAAAGAGTTAGCTGTTGTTATTGTACTCAGGATAAATCCAGTTCGAACCCTTGTCTGTAGCGATATCTTCATGTATCCATCAAAATAACTTGTGGTTTTAATATAAAAGAAAATTACTTCCGGCAGCCATGTCAGTAATGACGCCAAGGTCATTATAAGCAAGGTTGCTGTAAGCCTTTGTTCTCGATTAGATGTTCCGTTATGACGTGGGCGAGTACTACATCGTACTTTGGCAAAAATGGAGATATACGAAGCAGAAATCACAAGGATGAAGAAGAAATATATAGAATAAAGAATGTAGTAATAGTACATTATTAACTCGAGACTCCATTTAAGCAGTCCGTACAATACAACTGGAATGGAGGATGTTACCACAGAGATAAACCACATCACGAAAATAATCACTCCGTAGTGCAAGTTGCTGAGAAACTGGTGTTGTATTGGGCGAAATGTGGCGTGCAGGCGTTCAAGTGAAATAGCGGCAAGATTCATTACTGAGGTAAACTGGAATAGTGTACTCGCGGAGATGCCTGGATGATATCTCCACTGGCCACACGATATCACCTTCCCTGTGAAATACACGGGTCCCGAAACCCCCCCGACCAACAGATCAACCATCGCTAAGTGTATGATCAAGTATGTACTCCGGCGCTGTAGCTGACGCTGCTTCACAAAAACAATAATTGTAAGGATGTTAAGGATGACTATGGTGAGACATTCAATGATGAGCACAACAAGCCAGGGTACACATTCTGATGTAGCTGGTGGCACTGAGCTGGTGTTACTGCTCATGCTATTGCCGGTATTGCTGCTAATGTTGGTGGCCATCAAGTTTCACTCCAAGGGAAAATTAAAGCCATGTTCAGTTACTATCGTTGCTGATCTGTTTTGTTTTTGTTTGTTTGCTTTCCTTTGTATTCGTCATCAGTTTATTCCGACCACATAATTTGCTGCCAGGCAAAGGTTATATAACTGCTATCTCAGTGTAATCCCCCTAAGAAAAAAACTGAATAAAGAAGATTTCATGTGATGGGATGCTAAAGAACACTTATATTTTGAATTATCTTTTTAATTTGATTCTTGCCTGATTAAACTGTTGTCTTCGTATTGTTTGTCCTGCCTTCATATCTAGTTGAAAATCAACAACATCTGCGAAGTGCTTTGACAAAATTATGGAGAACTAGAAATATTTTTAGCTGTTTTTGCATATTGAGGAAATTTTTTTACTGAATAAATGGAAGGAAGTCACAATACCATGGGTAAGTTTTGTTGGAAAATAGTCTTAGAAAACATAATTGAAATGAAGTAAAATCTGCAGCTGCAATCAAGTTGTCCTCGACCTCGATGGTTCGCTCTGTATAAGCGAAGTTGGATTCGATTTGGATGACAAAAGGTCTTAAACTGTACGAGTTAACTTTGAAAAGTGTACTTTTCAGCGAATTTTAAACGACTATTCTTATCTACCAGTGATATAAGTATGAAAAAACAAAATTACCTTCCGAAAAACCTTTGATTCCCTATTAGGGCTATGGCATCAAATTCCAGAAACCTTGTGAAATGAAGTTATTACAAATAGCTTTTTAATTTAAAAATTCTTATTGCATGTTAAGTCAATATATGACTTACTAATTTACCGACATGGAAACTTTATTATTACCTTCTGACAGACAAAGGTTGGAAAACCGCAAATTGCTCCTTGAAGGAAATTGAGTCTCAAGCGGAAGTAAAAAAGAAAGACGCTAATAATTAAATACCCCGGTATTTTCTTCAAATAGAGACATTGCACTCTATCCAAAACGTCAATGAAGACAAAATCACAAGGATGAAGAAGAAATATATAGAATAAAGAATGTAGTAATAGTACATTATTAACTCGAGACTCCATTTAAGCAGTCCGTAAAATACAACTGTAATGGAGGATGTTACCACAGAGATAAATCACATCACGAAAATAATCACTCCGTAGTGCCAGTTGCTTAGAAAATGGTGTTGTATTGGGCGAAATGTGACGTGCAGCCGTTCAAGTGAAATAGCTGCAAGATTCATTACTGAGGCAAACGGGTACAGTGTACCCACAGAGATGCTTGGATGATATCTCCACTGGCCACACGATATCATCTTCACCGTGATAAACATGGGTCCCGAGACCCCCCCCCGACCAACAGATCGACTATCGCTAAGTGTATGATCAAATATGTACTCCGGCGCTGTAGCTGGCGCTGCTTCACAAAAACAATAATGGTGAGGATGTTAAGGATGACTATGGCCACACATTCAATGATGAGCACAAAAAGCCAGGGTACACATTCTGATGTAGCTAGTGGCACTGAGCTGGCCTTGCTGGTCGTGCTATTGCTGGTATTGCTGCTCGTGTTGGTAGCCATCAAGTTTCACTCAAAGGAAAAATTAAAGCCATGTTCAGTTACAATCGTTGCTGATGAGTTTTGTTTTTGTTTGTCTGCTTTCCTTTGTTTTGGTCATCAGTTAATTCCGAGCACATACTTTGTTGCCAGGCAAAGATTATATAACTACTATCTCAGTGTAATCCCCCCTAAGAAAACTAAATAAAGAAGATTTTATGTGATGGGATGCTAAAGAACAATCTAATAATCTGAATGATCTTTTTAATTTGATTCCTGCCTGATTGACCTGTTCTCTTCGTATTGCTTGTCCTGCCTTCATATCTACTTGAAAGTCAACAACATCTGCGAAGTGCCTGGACAAAGTTAGGGAGAACTAGAAATATTTTTTGCTATTTTTGCGCTCTGAAGAAATTTTTTACTTAATAAATGGAAGACAATCACAATGCCTTACGTAAGTTTTGTTGGAAAAATGAAGTAAAATCTGCAGCTGCAATCAAGTTGTTCCCGACCTCGATGGTTCGCTCTGTAGAAGCGTAGTTGGATTCGATTTGGATGAAAAAAGGTCTTAAACAGTGAGAGTGAATTTTGAAAACTTTACTTTTGGGCGAATTTCAAATGACTGTTCTTATCTAGAGGTGATAAGAGTATGAAAAACAAACAAACAAACAAACAAAATTACCTTCCAAAAACCCTTTGATTTTCTATTAGGTCTGAGGCCTCAGATTCCAAAAACCTCATGAAATGAAGTTATTATTATAAAAAATTGCAGTTGGGTTATATGATGAAATTAATATGGAGCTTTTAAATCTAGAAACTCTTATTGCACGTTAAGTCAACATATGAATCACTAATTATTAACCCGCATGGAAACTTCATTATTACCTTTTGACAGTCAAAGGTTGGAAAACCGCAAATTGTTCCTTGAAGGAAATTGATTCTCAAACGGACGTCAAAAAGAGAGACGATAATAATTAAATATCCCGGTATTTTTCTACAACTAGAGACATTGCAGTCTATCCAAAACGTCAATGAAGACAAAAATACTTTTGTAATAATTCAATTTTGTTCAATATTCAGAAGGTAGATAATGAATATGGAAAGAAGTATTGCGTAAGTTTCTCTTTAAGAGACATTGCTTTGGCGACATTGATCGAAATACGTGAAAGCTGCACCTTTTGCATGCATTAGGAGTCCATAAAAATCATAAAATAAATGTTTGGATCTAAAATGCAAGTGACTAAAATAAAGAGGAACTAAATTAAACTTTAATAGATTGTATTTTAAGAAAAGATATTTTTACCATTCGTGGTCTTACACAGAAATTAAAACCAAACGGGGAAAAGAAGAGCCAGACTTAACGTAATTTTTTATTATCAGCATGTCTACCAATTTAACATGGCAAGGATTCCGCATAAGTTTGTCACGGATAAGTATACCTAGTGGCTTGTACAATTATACTTCTAGTATTTATTGGATTTATTGTATGATATTTTAGTATTATATGTTTTGTATGGAACATCCACAGTAACGTCTTTGCTTTATCTTGTGCTTGATGAGCGGGACTTGATACATTTTTTCATCGCCACTCTACAGGTCTGGGGATGCAAGACCACAACCATTTTTTCATCTACGCGTTTGCTGTTTATTTCGTTCGGTGCTTCGTCTGACAAGGACACGTCTTGGGCTAATTGTTAGGAAGGAAAGCACAAGTCAATAATCAGAATAATTGAACCACACAAAAAAGAAATATTTTGAACTTCTCTGGAGTGTCAGCCTGGTATTATTACTAAAAGTGGCCAATCTACTGTCATATTATGTTTATCACTTGCTATGTTGTGCTAATATCTCGTTGCGTATTTCCTGCAAATGGATGATCACCGGATGTAGGGAAGAATAGCAGTAGCTATGAAAAAATGAATTTAAAATGAAGGTATAGACCTCGACGAGCCAAAGGACATTTGGAGCAAGACAATAAACAGTTTGGAATACTTTTTCCTTTTCTTTCTTAAGCTGATCGTGGAATAAGAAGCAAAATTGTTTCCATTTGAAAATAGATTCGGATTCTATATTCATGAGCCGTGTGAAGATGGTGTGCCCGCCAGGTTTTGTGCCAATAACAAGTTAAAAATGTAGTGTTATTAATATCACCTTCCTTCTTTCCTCATACACACAACCGTCACTGAGAGATTTAGACGCCCACGAACATAACGCACATGAATCACGAACATAACGCACATGAATTACGAACATAAACACTATCTTTCCTAAATGAAGTCCTCATTCATTGCGTTAAATTTTGTTCATTTTCCATATAGTGGTTCGTTTGGGCAATAGTAGAACAACTCTTTTTGGGGTATGGCATTTTCTAAAACTCATTTTCAAAGCTACAGCGAAGCCCTTTCCTGAAGACGCCAAAAATCACAAATGCTAATGTGGTCCGTGTCCTACCATCACTTTTTGGAACACCGCGGTCCGTCTGCGTTGCTTTGGTTTTAAATTGCGAGCCGGTCTGTCCCTCCATCAGATCTAAGTCGCCATAGCCACGGATAACATGCGTTGCTAACTCGTTCTTCTTGCAAAAATGGTAAATCTAGTGGAGGCAGCCCAAGAAAATTTAGTTTAAAGTTCGGTTGGAGATTGAAAGTTTAGCGCTTCCCCCCCTTTAAGTACACGACCGCTCATATACCTGCAGTTGCCGACACCAACGGCCAGCACTACTTCTACTTAGTCAGAATCCATAAATATGTAATTGATCCGATCAAAGTTTAAGCAAGTGAAAAGTTTATTTGTCACCCTGACGATGACTTCTGTTAAAGTTGTGTTAATGGAAGTCGTTTCAACCAACAGCCCGGCTTCTCAGGACAACTCTCATTCCAAAGATCAGACCTCACAATTAACTATTACCCAGGCTCTGGCCGGCAGGGTTTAACTATTTATCGTGAAAAGATGAATTTTGATAGGTTACACAATATCAATCTTATTTTGGTTAACTTTCATCAAAGCAGTTTGCATTGATTTGATAAATCTTGGCAGTTTCCGATACCTTATCACAAAGAAATCGATGATAAAGTTTCTGAATGAATTATTCTTACTTTTGGTACAAATACCAGCAACAGTGTCGAGGTGGTACAGAGGATCAGACACAGAGACAGAATGGCATAAGGAGCCTCATACTTTGGGGCTCCACCCAATGTAAGGGATACCACTACACCAATAATGGACAGAACGACCACGTTATAGACAGACATTCCGATGTACTTGGAGTCGTTCAGAGCAGGAATTGTGACGTTGCGTGTCTGCCAGGCCAAGAAGAGACCAAATAAGAGAAGCAGGCCTTTGTAGGTAAACAATACTCCAAGAAAATAGGTCTCATATTGACAAGTACACCGATACCGTGCTGGAATCTTGATGATGTCGGGCTCCCTACGGATCTAGATTATCACCGTGAAATAGTTGTCAATTTAAAAATGTAGTATTATTTTTTCTGTGTCAAATGAAGTCGCTTTGGGTTCACACGTACATTCATGCATCATTATCATTACTATTGCCATTGTTATCGTCGTCATTTTATCATAATTATTACATATGTGCACGATCCTCGCAGTAGAGAGCGCTATTTATGCAATAGCGAAAATCAGACCTGAAAAAAATCAGGCCTGTACAGGATTCGAACCACTGACCTCTGCGATACTAGTGCAGCGAGCTAACAAGCCAACTGGGAGCAGGCCATTAAGTTGATTCGTAATAAACCCGTGATGATAAATCAGATACAATGAATATATGAAGGTCATATATTTTGAACTGCGGTATTAGATACGTATGATGCACAATCCTGCTCCCAGTTGGCTTGTTAGCTCAATTGGTAGAGCGCTGCACTAGTATCGCAGAGGTCAGTGGTTCGAATCCTGTACAGGCCTGATTTTTTTCAGGTCTGATTTTCGCTATTGCATGCGGTATTAGATACGTATGATGCACGATCCTCGCAGTAGAGAGCGCTATTTATGCAACAGCGAAAATCAGACCTGAAAAAAATCAGGCCTGTACAGGATTCGAACCACTGACCTCTGCGATACTAGTGCAGCGCTCTACCAATTGAGCTAACAAGCCAACTGGGAGCAGGATTGTGCATCATACGTATCTAATACCGCAGTTCAAAATATATGACCTTCATATATTCATTGTATCTGATTTATCATCACGGGTTTATTACGAATCAACTTAATGGCCTGCTCCCAGTTGGCTTGTTAGCTCGCTGCACTAGTATCGCAGAGGTCAGTGGTTCGAATCCTGTACAGGCCTGATTTTTTTCAGGTCTGATTTTCGCTGTTGCATAAATAGCGCTCTCTACTGCGAGGATCGTGCATCATACGTATCTAATACCGCAGTTCAAAATATATGACCTTCATATATTCATTGTATCTGATCATCATTATTGTTATTATCACAGTTACTTTTCACCACCATAAGCGACCATGACCCTATTGTGATACAAGTACTCAAATTATATCCAAACAAGTTCTTAGTTTTAGCTATTTATCATGGTATTTTATTCTTAAAGGTTGTATAAATCAGGACTCGTTACTTGATAAACAGTAAACTCAATGGAACTTTAATCTGATCGAACAAAGCAATGGTACACGACCATATTCTCAAAAGCGGACAACAACAACTTGAGGACATGGTCGAACTAAATGTTGATTGGCTGATCTAGACAACTGACAAATCGTCACAAAGGTAAGCAGTGCATAATAATATAATTTACCTCTGAAAAGAACTGATTTTTATTTTCCAAATTAATTAACGATTAGGACATGAAATATCCAAGAGAGGATTGTGAAACATCTAAGTGAAGATTGTGATGCAAGCAAAGACGCTTGAGCAAAGATAACTGAAGGAAACTAACCTTGTCTTGGATTGTTAATATTTTGGTATAAAATGGGTCAAATGAATTCCAAAAGGACAGGAAAATGACATCAACTATCAATAATCCTGTAACGATGATCATCAAATGACGATCCTTAATGGCCTAAAAGTTATGAAAAGAAAAGGACATTAAGATTAAAACAGGACACTTGTAGAAAGGAGGTTTTCACAGAAACTGGTTGCCTACATATTTGGATATTTTCAAACGTGTAGTGGCCAACAGTGCGTGAAAATAAATAGCTTTTTTCCAACCAAACTCAAATTATCATCCTGATTTTAGAACAGAAAATAATGATTACGGCAGTTTATGCAAATTTGAGATACTTCGCGCGCTCTGAAGGGTCGAATTTTTTTGGACATCATTCTTTGCTTTCAAAAAATAATTACAGTTATACTTGATGAAGTTGTACCATTTTCTTGGAGCTCATGCCAGCAGTGAATATCTTATACATCCGCCAGGTTTTGCTGAACGTGGAACCAAAAGATAACGAATATCCAACGGACAAAACCACAGTGCGGACCTGTTGAAGTAAATTCATTGATAGTATTCCTTCCAGCTGTACTATGATTAACCAAACATCTATTCTCGCATTTCACCTCGCAACTCAGGAATATAAATGCTTACCAGAGAATTTCCGAAGGGGGGGGGAGAGGGTAGGGGGCTATCGATTAGGAATCAACCTTCCCTCTGCGAGTTGTACTATTTTTTAAGTCTCTTCTCGCGAGAAGGCCCATAACCTGTAAGACTGAAAATTAGTTTTATTTCCACTCAAAAATGATGTGGAACAAGGACTACCGAGATGGGTGGCAACATATTTTCAAATCTAACATTTAATCAACCGTTGTATAAACAGGACAAAGGGGATTTGGTTAAGCTAAGAAGTTTAGCAATAAGAAATTGATTTTTCCACAAGTTAACAAAGTGACAGATTCAATTGTTGGGAGATCATTCTCAGTCTTACATTACAAATCTTGGTATAGCCCTCCACGTTCACGAACCGAGCATCGAGTCCAAACAGAATCACCGAAACGTAAGAAAGGATGCATCCCAGAACTGTAATGTTATTGAGGTTCGGAGAAGACATTCTGATAATCCTATGGCAAAGAAAGATAACAAATAAGCTTATAGGAGTGTAACCTGACTTTTGTCCTTAATTCAAACGAGTTTCTATCAAGTGCAATCTCACTGATCGGGGCTCGCGCAGCCAAACGAAATTATAACATAACCAAAGTAAAGCGCGCGCTCTGATTGGTCAATTTAGCGTCCCCTATTTGCCCATGGGTGTACGCTGCTAACGTGAGCAAATGCAAAGACTATTTACGCTTCTTTCGTGCTTAGCAACCTCCCGCGTGCATCCATAACTCAATAGTGTACGCTGTGGTGTTTACGATTTGTTAATTATATATCAAATATCGGTCGATACTTTTCTTGGACTCACATCTCTTTAGTTACAATCGCGTGGGAAATTCGAAGATCATAAACAAATCTTATGCCACTAGCTCCTCTATAGAAGGGTAATAATGCATTGATGTTATTTTTTTTTTCTTTGTATCACAATTTCGAGACTAGGGACTAGGAGATTCTCTTGTGGTGCTGAATTCATAATTCAGTGACACTTTGATCGATTTAAGATTGGTGATTATATTTCTGACCTGCTTTCTTTGTTCTTTATGTTGAAATATAGAAATCCCAGCGAGAGGGCAACTCCAGTACCGGCAGAAAAACACATAGTGATAATAAGAGGAAGCGAAATCATCATTAATTTGTGCTCTGTGTCTGTGTGATCCTGTGGAGGTTTAATGTCTGAAAGATTACAATCAGTGCTTTAGTGTATCAGCATAAAGCAATTTTAGATGTTCTGTCTTAAAACCAAAAGCAAAGTAATCACAGCGGCCAAAAAAAAAAAAAATTAACATAGAATCGATGAGCAAAACTACCATTTTAGAAATAAACACCTGAGCCTAGGTTTGTGATTGAGACCTTGGCGTTTGATTGATGACTCGATCTTAATCATTCTTAATTACTCTGCCTGAGCTCGACAGTAACTTTCTGTTTATTTTTTTTTTTTAATTCTTTTATTCCTTTCAGAGTGACCTATGGAAGCAATAGATCAAAACAGGTCTCAATAAGAAATATTTGTTAATTTCTTTTACCTTTCCATATTTTTTCTCTCTCAGGTTCAAATATTCTAATGCGCATCAAATTCGAAGTAGAAATCCAACCAATTCTGATCATATCTCCTGAAAAACAAAGAGGGCCGAGCACATGTAATGAATTCACTTAGTTTTCACTGTTCACGGTTCTAAAATTGTATATATATTCTGTTTTCTTTCTGCCTTCAAGGTGTGCTGTCCATTAAAAAAAAACCCCACCAAACGTTACAAGAGTGCTAGTAATGGTGATAGTGATGATAATGATGATAACGATGATAACGATGATAAAGATGATAAAGATGATAAAGATGATAAAGATGATAACGATGATAACGATGATAACGATGTTAACAATGGGAAAGATGGTAACGATGATAACGATGATAGCGATGACAACGATGGTAACGATGGTAACGATGATAACGATGGTAACGATGATAACGATGAAAGCGATTACAACGATGGAAACGATGATAACGATGGTAACGATGATAATGATGATAACGGTGATAACGATGGTAACGATGATAACGATGGTAACGATGATAACGATGGTAACGATGATAACGATGATAGCGATGACAACGATGGAAACGATGATAACAATGGTAACGATGATAATGATGTTAACGATGGTAGAGATGACAACGATGATAAAGATAATAACGATGATAGGAATGACAACGATGATAATGATGATAATGATAATGACGACGATGATGGTGATGACGATGTCTGTCTTATTTATTTACCACAGTTTTTCATGGTATGTTTCATTAAAAATTATTGTTCGAGTGGGCGAATAACATATTTATGAATTCGGAAACTAACCTTTCCTATTTTGCTTGAAAATAAGTTTTCCTACTCGTTCTTTATCTTTATTAAAACGGACAAGACCCTGAATGAAACGAAGGAACGTAACTATTTTACATCTGAGAAAAACGATTTTAATACTTTTTTTAGACATTATCAGACATCATCATTCGAATTATCAGCCACTTTCAAAGGTTTGTTTTTCAGTGAATAGCCTTAACTGTCCATGGACATCATCTGTTCCTTGAAGCACACATCATACAGCTATCTATAAAGCATCACCCCAATTCTTTGTTAATTCCCACTGCACCTGAAGAAGGCTGGTTTGGCCAGCCGAAATATAGTGCTCCGTCTTAAAATTTACTTATCTATACATCTGGTTCACGATCCTCGCAGTAGATAGCGCTATTTAAGCAATAGCGAGAATGAGACCTGAAAAAAATCAGGCCTGTACGGGATTCGAACCCCTGATCTCTGCGATACTAGTGCAGCGCTCTATCAATTGAGCTAACAAGCCAACTGGGAGCAGGCCGTTAAGTTGATTCGTAATAAACCCGTGAAAGTGATAAATCAGATACAATGAAATATATGAAGTTCATATATTTTGAACTGCGGTATTAGATACATATGGTGAAATATATGAACTTCATATATTTCATTGTATCTGATTTATCACTTTCACGGGTTTATTACGAATCAACTTAACGGCCTGCTCCCAGTTGGCTTGTTAGCTCAATTGGTAGAGCGCTGCACTAGTATCGCAGAGGTCAGTGGTTCGAATCCCGTACAGGCCTGATTTTTTTCAGGTCTGATTCTCGCTATTGCTTAAATAGCGCTCTCTACTGCGAGGATCGTGCACCATATGTATCTAATACCGCAGTTCAAAATATATGAACTTCATATATTTCATTGTATCTGATTACTTATCTTTGTTGTATCGGTCCTGCCTCTATATTTATATTTCATACACAGATAATGTCCGCGGACAAATATGCGCGCATGTTTCAGTATCTAATACCGCAGTTCAAAATATATGAACTTCATATATTTCATTGTATCTGATTTATCACTTTCACGGGTTTATTACGAATCAACTTAACGGCCTGCTCCCAGTTGGCTTGTTAGCTCAATTGGTAGAGCGCTGCACTAGTATCGCAGAGGTCAGTGGTTCGAATCCCGTACAGGCCTGATTTTTTTCAGGTCTGATTTTCGCTATTGCTTAAATAGCGCTATCTACTGCGAGGATCGTGCACCATATGTATCTAATACCGCAGTTCAAAATATATGAACTTCATATATTTCATTGTATCTGATTACTTATCTTTGTTGTATCGGTCCTGCCTCTATATTTATATTTCATACACAGATAATGTCCGCGGACAAATATGCGCGCATGTTTCTGCACCTTTAGGTGGTTATTGTTTATTTATGTTTAAACCTTACTTTTCGATTGTTAATGTAGGAAAATGTTTCAGTAGTATGACCGTGCATTATTATGACCCTGTGCAGCTATTGAATACTTACAGTGATTCCGTAGAAGTTTGTTTTATTGATCCACTTCATGATGAGACTAACTTCGTCAGCACTCCTGACTCTAAGATTTTGAAACTTCATTCCTTCGGTCAAACATCCATGAAGCGCTAACGCTATTATCCAAGCCGAGTCAAACGCATATTCAGCGGTCTTTTTAAACTGTTTCCCCTTCGATATGCTGCCAATCTGACTCCAGAATCTTTTAGAACTCTAAAGATTTAGAGGAGAAGTACAGAAAAACATACGGTTGCATTGAATCCATACCAATGGACACTACTTTGCACATTTTTTTCCACGTAAGAGCTCGTAGATTTTGAACTACGAAGAAAAAGAAAAAGATGTGCGACTAGACAGAAAAAAATCAACCAACCATACAGACAAAAAAGTTTGAAAACTGCCGATCACTGATTTTTCTTGCTACACAAGAAATTGTCTTCATTTGCTTTTATAGACACGAAATTTAGATTATCGCTTACCTAATTAAATTAATCGATTTATTTGTCCCTAGTTTTGTGAAAGTATTCATGAAAACTTACCATTCCAGAAATTGCTCTGGTGTTGTTCGAAAGAGTTTTTAACCGGATCATTGAAATGTAACCATCTGTGGCCTGCATCATGTCGTTTCTTGAGCACGTTAAGTTAGCTCTAAGACTTGAATAATGACGAGAGAGTACTTTTGGAACAAAATTCCCGTCTACTATCCAGGCATAATTTGGTCCATACATCTTCTTCATAAAAGCCTACCAAGATGATGTTACAACTAATTTAGTGACTGATATAAACATTATTTCCACGAAGTGTCAATTTGCAAAAGGGACAGACAGCTACTGCAAACTTCAACCTATAGAGAAAAAAATTCTTTTACAAAAGCAAAAGCAATAGCAAAAGCAGAAGCGAAAATGGCTCTATCTTGCAAAAATAATCCTATTCTATCTTATCGATCTCTACGATCACAGAAAATTGAGCTCCTCAACCACCATTTTGAATACGGAAAACTCAAAGTAGCTCTGAACGACCTTCACAAAACTTTTCTAAACTTAAAGAGGACACAATATAAACTCCTTCATGGAAAAGCCACAACACTTGCTTCTACACTAGTGACGAATTATAAAAGGAAGTTAATTTATGATAAACATTCTTGCAATTGCGTGTTGCGGGTAAGTCGCAAGGGTCCTAAAGATACGTTCGCCAGTGTCTTGATACCTATTTACAGACGAAGCTCCAGAAAACTCAACGATACCCGCGCTAAAGACTAGAATAAAGAATTTCTTAACAATTAAGCATTTTTTAAATATCCGCCTCTATGAACGGTTACTCGTTACGAGGTATTAATTTCTAGCAAAGCCACTTCCTTGCCTGACAGAAAGCAGTCTGAGCTCCTTCTAGACCGAACACACCAATTATGATCTTAGCGTCCAGAGACTGAAAATAAAAGTATAGAGACAAAAGAACTAAACAAGAGGCCGGAATAAATAACTTTATGAATGAATGAATGAATAAATGAATGAATGAATTCATAAATGAAACAGTGAAATCCAAACTGGCTAACCACAATGAGTGGCAAAAGTCTTGGCGCGCTTAATTACTTTCTTAATATTTCCTATAAATGACTAACTTTCATTTATGTCTAATTCGCCCCAACTTCAATGTCAGGCTTGGTGTCACAAAATGGTCACAATATCACGAAATATTTTTGGGGTAATGGGAGACTTGCAAGTGACTTATTAGAGATGAATTATAAGATTTATGCTTCTTATGATGAGTAAAGCGTTGGCGACAACCTAGAAAGGGGTGAGGTGCCAACTAATCTTACCACGCATGGTAGCTCTTTAGCTAACTTTATGACGTACAACTTTAGATTTGACTAAATTGCTTTTCAAACTATAAATTAACCTTTAATTTCTCCATCTGAAAACTGATGTCATCGTTCTTTTCAAATCCTTCAGAAACAATAACGCTGATGTTTTCTGTCGATAGCTTTCTTCTAAGAATTTCTACTGTCTGCAAGAAATAAGTAGTTAAGATATTTAGTTATACGATCAGCCCGCTAGTTGACTGTGATGCGGGGTTCGCTTACATTGGTATCTAAGGGCTCTTATCACATGGAAATCTTTCGAATCGTCATTTTCAATTAGTGTTTATCTTAGCTGTCCTCAATCATTCTCATGTTATTTTTGATGTCTTTCTTGTACACCTTGTCCATTCGTAATAAGTGCTCGAACGACCTTAGTTAATCTTAGCTGTCCTGTTTAAACCCAGTGCTCGAACAATCTAGGATGAACTGAAAATATCGTGAAGTAGTTCCCGTGAGGTTTTGAACATTGACGAACAGAAAACCGTCCCCTGTCGAACCAATGAAAAAAGAATCAAATGAGTTAACATTATAATAGTTAAACGCTATAATGAAACACTGTCACCTTTAAGAATCTCGAACTGATCTGATACAGAATAGCAACCCTTTTCCAGCCGTAATATTTGATGAAGGTCACCATTGCTTTTTTATATAACGCTGATGAGTGGGCGGCTAAGTAAGTGTTGGTGGGATAAGTCCACTTTCGCTCGGTAAGATGTAAATCTAATGCATAGGAAACCTAAATAAAGGTAAGAAGAAACCTTGATGTAAGTTAGATGGAAATACGAAGTTTGGAAATAAGCCTTTTTTTGCTTGGTTTGGTCACTCAACAATTTGACAAAAACTGTCTGAAAATGACGTTATCAGTCAATTCTGAACTGGGATCTCTTTTGGTCGGATCAGTCGTTCAAATAACTTATAAGGAATTTTTTTTGTTCCAATTTCAAGATCACTAGTTTTGTATTTTGTACTGCCTTAAAAATCAAATTCCACATTAAAATGACTGTTTTCCCATGGAGCGCATTTGAAATAATTTTGCAATGTTGCCGCTCTCTTAAGCATTGATATCTCTTCTGTTTATCTGCTTTAGAGATCAGGGAATGAGAAAATGTTCGCTGCGCACGAGGCCCAGTTGTGCTCCTTGTAGCACCTAAAGAATGGTGTGTCTTCATGAGCGTATAAGGTATAATAATGAGGCTTACTTCATACCTGAACAAGTTTCCACAGTCGGGCAGCCTCTGCTATTGTTTCCAGGCCCTCTCTCGTTGGAGGACCAAGCAATATTACAGGTCTGTTGTTTTTATTCAGGAATTTAAAGAGAGCTGCTGTGGTCTCTACGGCACTGCCCTTCAATTTTGTTCAAAATGTAGGGGAGATGAGTTTAATAGAAAAGAGAAAATCAAAAATAGACTTAAAATAACAGCAACGGAAACAACAACACAGCAAAAAGGTAAAACGAAAGAGGAAAGAGTTAAAGGAAGAAACAAAGAAAATAGAATGAAGTAACAAACCGGAACTAGCGATACCTTCTTTTTGCGATGTAATTGAGACACGAACGTTAGTGGGAAATGGTAAATGTGGACCGATTTCTAAGTCTTTTATTTTCAATCACCGTTTTCTGTTAGAATAGTACTGTTGAAACTCAAATGTTTTATGCGTGAGTGTTTTTAGAAGCGCATGTCAATGCTCTGAAGATGACGCAAATAGTCTGACACTAGATAACTC